TTATACAGTGACCCACTTGTAACCTACTGCACAGCAGAGCTACATCCACTTGCCCATCTTTTTTAAAACATTTTTTTCCGGCTCTCGTATGTCAGATAACATCAGACGATATTTATAGAGCGGATCAACTATTTCTGGTAGTAAACACTGTAAATAAAATCTGAAACAAAATATTTACATGCAAATAGTTATATATTTTATATTATATGTGTGCGTATATTTATGTATTATTTCCATGTATTGTACCTATTATATTATGTTATAAGACTAATTTCACTCTCAAACAATATTATACTTATGATATATTAAAACAGAATATTGTTAAATATTATAACTGAGCTAATTACAATTAACATTATACCTACCTACCTTACTATAGTAACTACTAAGGTACAAAATCGTAAGTTTTTAGTTCTATTTACCCTATCCCTATGGTCTAGCTAGTGCGGGCGTTTTATATACTGACCATGCTGTTCTGCAAGCAATGCGTTGCCCGCATGCGGCGAAATACAAGCTATTTTGTTGTTCTCCGCATGCGTGCAAACCAGCTAGGACATAGGTAGCGTAATTGTGTATAATTAATAAGAGGAATAAATTATAGTTTTTGAAGTGAAAACTTCTTTAGGCGCGTTTAGCACTTTTTGTGGGTACTGAATTGAACTGAGCCGTCACGCTAGGCTATATGTACCTAACGCTCATTCGGGTGAAGTCGGCTCGAGTCGACTATTAGGTACGTGGTTATTCAGTGATTATTATTATTATTTTTGGAAAATCGACATATTTTCCCATCGTCCCTAAGGCCCTATCGCAGCTGGGGATCGTCGTAGCTGTATTTTGTAAACGCCTATGCGTCAGGGGCGGATCTAGGGGAGGGTTCAGGAGGTCAGCTGACCCACAGTTAAAATTTTCTGATCAAATTGGCCTCTTTTCAGATCTTGAGTAGTTGGACACTTAAATAAACACACATATAGTATAAATGAATTTTAGATTCTGAGTGGAACGATGAATGTATTGATTTTACAATGTGTTTTTTTTTTTAAATTTTTTTGATTTATTTTTGTGTCTGTGTACACGATAGGTAGTCAAAATAATGCTTCGATTTTCAACTTCAGTATCTTGTTCAATTGGAAAGTGAATCTAGTTGGTGCATTCGGGAGGTAAAATTTTAAAATTCGCAATAGTTTTCACAAGCGCCGGGATTAAACACGACAATAACGGACATTTTTACTCAAAATCTGTTTTCCAAAAAATCGATTTTGGTTTTTGGTGTAACTCTAAAACAAATGAACGTAAATACATGAAATTTTCACTGGTTGCTTATATTTGCATTTCTATACACGATAAAATTTTTAAAATATTATGATTTGTTTTGAACTGTTTAGGGACATTTTCATTTTCCATTTTTTTTTTAGTTTTTATTCTAAAAATATCAATAAAATTTTATTTGTTAGCTTAGAAAGCTTGAAAATGTATTATAAGGCTCCTAGTATATTGTTTAAAGGCAGATGAAAAATATTAAAAATAGTTAGTCACAATTTTCTTTTATCAATAAAAAAATCTCTACCGGAAAGTTAAATTAAATTTTAATGAGTGTTTGAAATTCAAATTTTTACAATATTGGATATTCACTCGATTTCTCATGTAGCGATTTCCTTATTTTGTTGTAATTCAAAAACAAATAACTGTAGATAAATGAAAATTTCACTGAATGTTCATATTAGAATTTCCTATACAATGTACAATTTTGAAAATAATTGTTTTTCTTATACAATGAAATTATATATAATTATAAATTCAAATTTAATACCATCCATTACAGCGACCCCCACTTGTAAGTTGTAACCTAATGTACAGCAGGTTAGGTATACAGCAAAAATATTTTGACTCTTTTTGAGCTGTTTACGGACATTTTCAGTTTTCAATTATTTTGTAGTTAAAAATGTATAAAATTTTCAACTTTTATATCTAAGGATTGAAAATTTAAAACATGATTTCACCATTGTAGTTAATTCTGTTACCAAATAATCTAAAAAATACATAAGCACAGTTTATTTTTATAGTAATTTTAAGTTCAACTTTGGATAAAATTACATAAAAAAAAACCTAGAATTACTATTTTAGTTATTTTTTTGTGATTGTGTAATATTATTCGTGGGTACTTGAAACTTCTAAAGTACACTATTATATACCTATGGAGTATGGACTATGATAGTATCAGGGTTTGTTGTTGACGTATAACGCATTATAAGTACCTAATGGATAATGGGATATGATTAATTTGGAATTTATTATAGGTAAATTTTTTTAATACGATAGATAAGAAAATAATATGCCTTATACCTAAACTGACATACCGTCTCCGCTCAGAATCGTTTTTCTTATACAATGATATTATATCATTGAATTCAAATTTAATACTATCCATTATACAGTGACCCACTTGTAACCTACTGTACAGCGGAGCACCTTTTTTTTTTGTTTTATATACCTAGTACACAAGTATAGATTTCTAATTTGGTTTTAATAAGTGGCCCCTTGAAATTTCCTGACCCATAGTTTCCTAACTCTGGATCCGCCCCTGCTATGGGTTGTGGGCGGTCACGTGCATAACATATCAAAAATTACCCCCCCTTTTTTTGATTTAAGTATATTTCTATCGCGTTTCGACTTGGGTCCCCCGTTTTACCACCAAAAATTCTGTTTCGAAACCCTCTAAATAGTCCCCTCGTAGTCGGGGTACTTTTGACCCCCCCCCTCAAATCACTATTAAATTTGAATATATCGGAATGATCCGAATGACAGTACGACGAAATATGGAACAACAAATGATGGAGTTTTTTTTAGTTATTTAGAAAATACATTCCATTCAAAAATATACATTTCATATTTCAGTTACCATAAACCTATAGTTTCATTTTTAGAGTATGATGATGCAGATGAAGGCCACTCAGAGCAAAATTCACAGGAGTAATTTATTCACAATTATAATTAAGTACATTGTGAAAGTTATTAATTTATCAATACCTATAGAACGCAAAAAAACTTGTATTTCGTATTATTAATTTCGCCTTGTAAAGTTCTCACTTCTGCCGTATGGTCTTAAGCACCCAATGTTTTATTTTTAACTGTATACCTAATGATTAATCTAGTCTAATCTAATATAATTGATTGATTACCTTTTTTTTTTTTTGAAAAAGTAAATAATAAAAAGATTATTTTTTATTAATAAGTATGGCTAAGCAGTAAACATTGTAAAAATTAAGATATCTAAATATCAGATTTATTATTTTTATTTAGTGCATTTATAACTTATAAGTTACAAATATAGTAAATAACGTTTCATTTAAATTTACTTTTTGGTTTATAATTATATTTAAAAAATAACCAAGTGATAAGATGTAATGCAGTTATTTAAAATCTGATTAGAAGACTGATATAGGTAATGACCTTATTTTCAAATTCTTATAATATTTTGTATTAGTTGAAGAGTATCCTGAATTCCTGAGGGGGATACAAATATGAGAACCCTATTTTCAACTGTAAATTATTCGGGAGTTTGTAATTTGCACCAAAATAAGGGTATTATGTAATTTGCACCACCCACAGGTAGTAAGAAATAGGAATTGTAAATTGCACCAAAATTAAAATCGATTATTTTTTCGATAGTACCAACTTACAAGTTTCTATATCCTAATATAACTTTAGCTTAGTTTTTATTTATAAAATAGCTGAGCCTGAGCTTATACACATATTGTTGTAAGTTTATATAAAATCGTATTATTATGAATATAAATAAAAGTTAGTCAAATAAAATAATTATAATATAAAGCTAACTTTTTTTATATTCATAAAAATACGTTTTTATATAAACTTACAACAATTTGTGTATGAGCTTAGCTATTTTATAAATAAGTCGAGAAAGAGTGAGGGCCTTATTTTCATAGTCGATGCTTAAGTGTTAAGAATAAGTATTGCTTAAGCTATACTAATGGGGCTCAAATGAGATTCATAAACGAAACATTGGCTTAAGAAAAGAAAAAGTATTACTTAAATTAAGGCTGGTCGAGACCTAGGTATACCTTAAGCATTGCTTTAGTTATAATCACACATTTTTTTATTTTTTAAACTATCAAAATTAGCTTAAGTATTACTTATTCTGAAGCATGCACTATGAATACGGTCATAAGACTTTGTCAAGGTTAAAGAGATTCGAACCCCTGTTATTGTTCTTTGGTTTTTTCGGACTATTCCGGCTGAATCAACATTAAGGAAAAACTATTTATAAGATGTATACAAACAAACCATTGCCAAAATCCTCGATTCTGTTTCAAATCAAAAAATTTGGATAAAAATTATGTAATATAATACCTACGGCTATTACAATATTAGATACATGATTTCCGAAGCTCTTAATTTAATTTTTAATTAAAATTAATTTTTGTTAGTATATTTTCCGTAAATGTGCTGACTTAATGTTGATGTAAATACTAGATTGAGGCAAATGCCACAGTTTTCTCCCCCCAAATAACGCCACTGCTTACTAATAGGATTTTAATTAGGATATGAGGAAGCATAATTACAACGTATAGTGGGTTAAGAGTTAGGACAAACTTTGTTTTTATAAACAAGTCTAGAGCAGGCAATAGGCATTACTTTAGATTTTAGGAGTTGTATAATAATTAAGGAAAATGGGGAATAGCTTTTTTTCTTGTAGGTACTGTTTAATAGACATAAAATCAAGACCAAAATTAAACTATTTGTAATGTTTTTTACTTTTATTAACTCATCACTCATCACAATGAACAATATAAATTAAGTAGAATGAGTTTAACTAACTTGGGTACCTGGATATAAGTAGAATAGGTACACAGTTTACAAAACAAATCGAAGTATGAACCAATTAATATTTGTGAAGATCTTATTTCCGAACAAGATAAATAATTCTTTAGATTAACAAAAAGAAGATAATTAATTCTTAAAACTATTCTGAATATCTCTGATTAACAACTACAACCTCCTGGAGATTCTTGAGGTGTGGGGCTGTCCACCTGCAATATAAATTAATACATTTTAAGCATATTATAAAAATCATATAATCATTGATTAATTTTTAATAGGTTTTGTACATTTTTAAATCAAATTATCATTGTTTGAGGGAGGGGTTCTACTTATATAAGTTAATTTAGTATGTTAAATGTATCTTTTAAATGTATACTATACTCTTCAGTTAATAGAATACAAGAAATATTTTTGAAGAATTTTTTATTAGTTGATTTTTAAACTGTTAATCATTTGATGCGGTGTTAATGCAAGATACCTCGTATTTTTATGATAAAAAAAAATTATTTTTTGAAATGTTAATTATGTAACTGATAAACTATTGATTTTCTAGTTATTAATTTATTATATAAGTATTTGATTCTTAAAATGTTTTAGTTCAAAGATTTTGGATGACTGTTACTCCGCTGAAGTTAGGAAGTAATCAAGTTCTAAAGTATTTAAGTATGTTTATAAACGAGACTTGTACGGGTAATATGATACACAAAAAATGTTGGGTAAAATTAATAAATTTTACATTAAAAGAATAAAAATACTATCCTTAGCTAAGAAAACACATCTACCTAAATTATTTAGCATTTAAGCATTTAAGCAACCTAATATACCAAGACTCAATATGTTTTATTAGTTTTAAATTTCTTTTCATTCACTACATTTTGATTGTAATATTGAGTACATTACACCAACATTTGTTGTCTCCTTCTTACAAGTGCGCTACTTATAGGCGTTGTATTATATTTTAATTTTAAAGAGAGTTATGATTATTTTAAGATGTACAAACAGTTTACAATTTTAAAAAACTCATAGCTCGCTTCAAAGTTAAAATATAATAAAAAAAACCATGAGGTTTATCTTACCTTTAAATTTTATAAGAAGTCAATTTATGCTAATTTTTAAACTAACGGAGCTAAACGTGTTTCTGCTGAGAGTACTATTTAGTATTTACTATGTAGAGCATTTGTAAGACAGAGACAACAAATGTCGGTGTAACGTCCTTTTACCAATTTAATGTATTTAAATTTAAAAACAGAAACATATAAAGTTATATACAACATTAGCTTAGAACTGGAGACAAATTTGTAAAATATGGAAAGTTAATTCTATATTTATATACATGTAATATTCACAGATTATATTTAATTTATAAAATAGATTATGTATAATATATATTAGAGATTTACTAATTTTAGCAAGTCTTCATTTTTTGTTTGTTCCGATGTATATATTTTTGAAATCATTGTATAAAATAATTTTTCTATATTCACATTGGTTTTGGAAGACACTTCAAAAAATGGAATTCTGAACTGTTCTGCTATCTAAAAACATTTAAAGCTATCAAAATATATTAAAATAGTGGAGGAAATATGTCTTCATTAACTAATGAATAAGTTATTTAAAGTTATTAAAATGTTAGATAATTGTGTTGTATTTAATATAATTACTTTCTGTCCTTCTTCGATTGAGATCGCTCTGTTTGATTTATCGTCACATTTACTACCAATCAAAATTTTCACTGCATTTAAATCAGAATACTGAAAAAAAATGTAATATTTTTTTTTATTTATGTAAAGTACTAATCTAAAATTTGTATTATCCTCACAATCAATGACAACAACAAATAACAAATTAAATCTAAGAACGATTAACTTAATTATTATACAATTACTTACATTTTCAACATCTTTTATCCAACTATCTAGTTTAAACGAAGAACTTAAATTTGTAATATCATAAACAATAAATATACCATGGGCTCCTCTATAGTATTGTTGAGATAAAGAGCGAAACTTTTCTGTCCCAGCTGTGTCCCTAAGACAATAAGATACATGATAATACTGATTTAGTTTGGAATTGAAATAACTCTATAAACATTTTAAATAATAAATGTAAAATTATTTTAGTATTTGGTATTTATACTATATCATATATTAAATTATAGGTGTCACATTATATTATATATTAGATTTTATTTACCAAATATTTATTTCGATGGCTTTATTCTTCAAACTGACAAATATTTTATGAAAGTCCATACCTAATATACATATATGTTTAATAACTTTATTAGTTAAATACCTAAGAAATATTTTAATTAAGTGACTTATTACATATCTTACATATTATTTTAGTTTTAATATAAAACTCGTACCTGAAGTGTCAGACATATTGTCTGAATATACACCTTTGCATAAACGATGAATTAAAGAACTTTTTCCAACATTTGAGTGACCAACTATGATCAGTTTATACTTCTGAACTGTCGTTTCTGGTTTAATCTTTATAATTTTGTAGTAAGGTGTATCAGTTGTATCAGGTAATTCATTTTCAATTATAGGGCACTGCATTGGTATTGTATTTGGTTTGTTTGTGACATTTATATCCTTTAACTACATTGACAAAATTATAATTATGATTGACCTGCACATAACTAATAACCAGGGCTTGAAAATAGGTTTTGTACATTTTTAAATCAAATTATCATTGTTTGAGGGAGGGGTTCTACTTATATAAGTTAATTTAGTATGTTAAATGTATCTTTTAAATGTATACTATACTCTTCAGTTAATAGAATACAAGAAATATTTTTGAAAAATTTTTTATTAGTTGATTTTTAAACTGTTAATCATTTGATGCGGTGTTAATGCAAGATACCTCGTATTTTTATGATAAAAAAAAATTATTTTTTGAAATGTTAATTATGTAACTGATAAACTATTGATTTTCTAGTTATTAATTTATTATATAAGTATTTGATTCTTAAAATGTTTTAGTTCAAAGATTTTGGATGACTGTTACTCCGCTGAAGTTAGGAAGTAATCAAGTTCTAAAGTATTTAAGTATGTTTATAAACGAGACTTGTACGGGTAATATGATACACAAAAAATGTTGGGTAAAATTAATAAATTTTACATTAAAAGAATAAAAATACTATCCTTAGCTAAGAAAACACATCTACCTAAATTATTTAGCATTTAAGCATTTAAGCAACCTAATATACCAAGACTCAATATGTTTTATTAGTTTTAAATTTCTTTTCATTCACTACATTTTGATTGTAATATTGAGTACATTACACCAACATTTGTTGTCTCCTTCTTACAAGTGCGCTACTTATAGGCGTTGTATTATATTTTAATTTTAAAGAGAGTTATGATTATTTTAAGATGTACAAACAGTTTACAATTTTAAAAAACTCATAGCTCGCTTCAAAGTTAAAATATAATAAAAAAAACCATGAGGTTTATCTTACCTTTAAATTTTATAAGAAGTCAATTTATTCTAATTTTTAAACTAACGGAGCTAAACGTGTTTCTGCTGAGAGTACTATTTAGTATTTACTATGTAGAGCATTTGTAAGACAGAGACAACAAATGTCGGTGTAACGTCCTTTTACCAATTTAATGTATTTAAATTTAAAAACAGAAACATATAAAGTTATATACAACATTAGCTTAGAACTGGAGACAAATTTGTAAAATATGGAAAGTTAATTCTATATTTATATACATGTAATATTCACAGATTATATTTAATTTATAAAATAGATTATGTATAATATATATTAGAGATTTACTAATTTTAGCAAGTCTTCATTTTTTGTTTGTTCCGATGTATATATTTTTGAAATCATTGTATAAAATAATTTTTCTATATTCACATTGGTTTTGGAAGACACTTCAAAAAATGGAATTCTGAACTGTTCTGCTATCTAAAAACATTTAAAGCTATCAAAATATATTAAAATAGTGGAGGAAATATGTCTTCATTAACTAATGAATAAGTTATTTAAAGTTATTAAAATGTTAGATAATTGTGTTGTATTTAATATAATTACTTTCTGTCCTTCTTCGATTGAGATCGCTCTGTTTGATTTATCGTCACATTTACTACCAATCAAAATTTTCACTGCATTTAAATCAGAATACTGAAAAAAAATGTAATAATTTTTTTTATTTATGTAAAGTACTAATCTAAAATTTGTATTATCCTCACAATCAATGACAACAACAAATAACAAATTAAATCTAAGAACGATTAACTTAATTATTATACAATTACTTACATTTTCAACATCTTTTATCCAACTATCTAGTTTAAACGAAGAACTTAAATTTGTAATATCATAAACAATAAATATACCATGGGCTCTTCTACAGTATTGTTGAGATAAAGAGCGAAACTTTTCTGTCCCAGCTGTGTCCCTAAGACAATAAGATACATGATAATACTGATTTAGTTTGGAATTGAAATAACTCTATAAACATTTTAAATAATAAATGTAAAATTATTTTAGTATTTGGTATTTATACTATATCATATATTAAATTATAGGTGTCACATTATATTATATATTAGATTTTATTTACCAAATATTTATTTCGATGGCTTTATTCTTCAAACTGACAAATATTTTATGAAAGTCCATACCTAATATACATATATGTTTAATAACTTTATTAGTTAAATACCTAAGAAATATTTTAATTAAGTGACTTATTACATATCTTACATATTATTTTAGTTTTAATATAAAACTCGTACCTGAAGTGTCAGACATATTGTCTGAATATACACCTTTGCATAAACGATGAATTAAAGAACTTTTTCCAACATTTGAGTGACCAACTATGACCAGTTTATACTTCTGAACTGTCGTTTCTGGTTTAATCTTTATAATTTTGTAGTAAGGTGTATCAGTTGTATCAGGTAATTCATTTTCAATTATAGGGCACTGCATTGGTATTGTATTTGGTTTGTTTGTGACATTTATATCCTTTAACTACATTGACAAAATTATAATTATGATTGACCTGCACATAACTAATAACCAGGGCTTGAAACCGTTATCAATTTAATCGGAAATTAAACCGAAAATTTTTTACCTAACCTAACCCAATTGGGGGGGGGGGGGTCAGGTGTGGACCACCCCCATCCCATTGATTAACAAAATTCAAAATTTTTAAGGTGCAAATCACTTATTGTATACTTTGTACATGTAAAAAAAATTTGCCTCCTCCACTTTAAAAATTCCTAGGTACTCCCTGCCTATAACTAAGAATATATGATTTTTAAAAAATATTAAATTGGTGAAATTTAAGAAATTCGGGTTATTTGTGGCTAATTTTCTTATTGTAATTGTGCTTCAACTGTATGTCTAATACTACAAGTAATTCCATTTACTTTATAGGACCCCACTTTAGTATTGTATTTGGTATGTTTATGACATTTATTCGTTCTACCAACTAGGATGAAAAATTATATTTGTGATTGACCTACATGACGTAAGCTAATAACCTGGTATACCGTTTCTGTTTCTTTATGAAATTGTACTTCTCAGTTTTAGAGTAAATTATTAATGTATTAAAATAAAAGTATACTATACTACTGAGAATATTTTTGTTACATAATATAAACTTTTAAAATGTACCTCTTTTTTAATACAGTCAGATATCATTGTATAGAGCAATTTGTCTATGTTTATATTGCTTTTGGAAGACACTTCAAAAAATGAAATTCCATACACTTCTGCTATCTGTAGAGTAAAAACATACAATCATCAACAATAATTAGAGTGGAAGAAATATTTTTAAGCCAAATTGTAGGATGAAATTGTCTTTTATAACTGATGAATAAATTATTTGAAAATAGGTAGTTATTTATTTGTGTAATAATCAATATAATAATTACTTCCCGTCCTTCTTCAATTGAAATCTCTCTGTTTATTATATCGTCACATTTATTACCAATCAAAATTTTCACTGCATCTGTATCAGAAAACTGAAAAAAAAAAATTATGATTTATTTATGTAAAGTACTGAATTAAAATTTGCATTATCTTCTTATTTATAGTAGATACGAAAATGAGTAATGAGCCATTCTTTTGGCCAATTTTCTAGTTTTTAGGGGTTTTCATGGTCCTACATTTGGGAGAAAAGTTAACTGTTAGTATGCATTGTAAGTACAGCGAGTGGTAATTATAATAATAATAATGATAATAATTCTTTATGTACAGAAAAAAAATTTCCAATTACATAAAATAAAATATAATAACAGTGGTGTATAATGACATAATATATACAAATAATATAAGAAGTAATGTTATAATAGTAATCGGTTTATAGAAATTAGAGACAACGAAAAATCTATAGGTACATATATAATTGAATGTTTGTGTGTGTGTGTCCTTTATGCATTTCTAAACCGTTTATCCGAATGCTATGAAATTTACCACAGAGATAGATTAGACCTCTGGGAAGAAGATAGGCTAATTTAAAAAGGAAAATTAGAGGTCCAACCCGAGGAGGTGCTCAAACTGGGATTTTGAGATTTACGATGGAAATGCTTGTTTATAAATGGTTGCTATTGGTTTTAATAATAATAATTATTATATTTACAGACTTAAAAATATAAATAAAATAATGAATTAACAAAACAATAGTGTGATAAATAGTATTTAAAGTACTATCTTAGGCATAAAATAGTTGGAATAGCCCTAACAAAAATAGCCTCTTGGCACATGACGATCACGGCTCACTTTTCGACTCTTGTATTATAATGACAAAAATGAATAATAAATTTAACTTAATCATTATATAATTACATACATTTTCAACATCCTTTATCCAACCATCTAGTTCAAATGAAGAATTTAAATCTGTAATATCATAGACAATAAATACACCATGAGCTCCACTATAGTATGAATGAGCTAAAGAGCGTTGCTTTTCTGTCCCACCTGCGATCCTAAAACAATAAGAGACATGACAAAACTGACTCAATTTTGAATTTATAAACTCGGTGAAAAAGTTTTAATACTGAATTTAAAAGAATTAAGCTAATAGTTAAATTTATACAGGTGCTTAGATAAAAAAAACCCCTTGTGTAAGCACCTGAATGTATTTACTAAATAATACATTATATTCTAGGTAGATTTTAGTATACATTATATACAAAATTAATAATATTATTTACCCAATATTTAAGTGGATGGTTTCGTTCCCAAATCTGACAAATATTTCTTGAAAGTCAATACCTAATTGGGTATTTAAGGAATTAGGTTATAATTATCAATACACATATAAAAGTATTAATAGTAATAGTTATTACTTATTAGTTAAATTCATCACAAATATTTAAATTGTGTGTAAGCATACAATTATTATATATTTTACAAATTGATTTAATTGTAAATTGTAATACTATACGTCTTGTACCTAGTGGCACGATTATACATATTTTATACCTGTGGTTGGTATAGTATCTTGGTATACACCACTGCAGAAATGATTAATTATAGTAGTTTTCCCAACATTTGAGTGACCCACTATGATCAATTTAAACTTCTTATTTGTTGTTTCAGGTTGGACTCTAATCAATTTGTAATGCTTTAAAAACATAAAAATTTTATTTTATTTTATTTTAAGGTAATCATTTATTAACTTCTGAGCAAATATTTAGCTTGTCATTAAGAGGATGTCAGCGCACTATTTGTTTTCTCTCTCTGGCCCACGCGCAGCATAGACAAAACGCATGAACGCAGAATCATTTTTTCTATGTTTTAAGTAATCTTAGAGTAAAATCACCTATTACAAAAATGATAGAGAATAATATTTTTGAGGGAATGTCATATCGATTTTATATTTTATTGTTATTTGACTTTGTATTCGACTTTCAAAATAAACAAAAAAAGTTGTACATTCAAATGATGTTTAAATAGTTTTGAGACAATATTTAGACAAATCGATATGACATTCCCTCAAAAATATTATTCTCTATCTTTTTTGTAATGGGTGATTTTACTCTAAGATTACTTAAAAACATTGAAAAAATGTTTCTGCGTAAATGTGTTTTGTCTATGTTGCGCGTGGGTCAGAGAGAGAAAACAAATAGTGCGCTAACATCCTCTTAATACATAATATACATAACCTGAATTTATCATAATTATATAAGTGTGAATAATAAAAATATTGGTACCTACCTCACTGTCATCGTTCTCTATGTTTGGGACATTAGGTAATTCCTTTTCCATTATAGGACACTGCACTGTTATTGTATCAATTGGTTTTACAGCAGAATCCATCTTGGGCTTATTTTGTCATTTATATAATGCTTTAACTAAATTGACAAAATTATATTTTTGATTGAATTGCAAATAGCTGATAACTGAATATTGTAGTTCTATTCCTATACGAAATATTGCACTTTACAGTTTTAGTGTTAATTCATCAATGTAGCTATTTAAATGTAAATATAATATAACAATATACACTTCTGAGTATAATTTTGTAATATTATAACAGAAACTTTTACAATTTATCACATTTTTAATATCTATAGGCACTAGGTAGTACTTAGGATGTGGGCTTAATGATGACGTAGGAAAGTCATACGATATTCTTTCTTGAAATCATACTTAATATCATATTGACATATTATCATAATTATTCATAATCATTTCCATAGTATCAAATTGTAATCTAATTGCCGGTTGCATAAAGAACAGTGTCTGTACATTTACCGGCTCTGTAATTTACCGGATCGTAAGGTTTTAAGAGGACGTCGCACCAAAACGTGTACGCGTTCAACGGCCGAGAGGATGCGCTGTTAGGTGTTTTCACGATCCGCAAGCGCGCGGCGTTTAAGTCACGCCTACTATTCGCAATCGGCAACCGGCCGACGACGGCGACGACTACCCGTTCGGGAGCGCCGTTCATTTGTTATTTGAACTTTCGTCTAGTACTATTCGTATCATTATAAAATTTAATGTTTTCAATAACTGTGCGTACCTTTAACTACCGATTATTATTTAAGATACTGCTTACATAAATTTACGTCCCAATATATAGATCGTAGAAACTGTATTATAACATAGCTTAATTTGTACTTATAGCATTATAATGCATTCAAATATAATACCTATACTAAAATATAATTTAATAGTACCTAAATAAATACAGCGTAATCGAATTAATATTAATCAGCTGACGTGTTTCATCTTTTATGTTCTTTTTTTAAACATGGATTTTTAATATGATAATTATTAATAAAAATGCATAATAATAATACATACGTAGGTACTTACAATATTTCAAATGGCTAAAACTAGCGTATACAAATAAAAACGACTAAAATAATTTTTTTTTAACAATATGATTAGTATGATAATAATATAATAAATCAAATTTTATTTTAAAATAGCTGTTTTGAGATTTTCATTTGTTGTAAAATTATTTTTGACTCTCTTATGTCTGATTTCATGAATCTATATTTATAAACAGGATCCACGATTTCTGGCAGCAAACAGTTTAGATAAAACCTATAAGTATAACGTTTAATATTGATATACTTCCTAATTTTTTTTAAAAACTAAATATTGGATTTAACAAAAGTTTAATTAATATTAATTCTAACAATGTTTACGTTTTTAATTTATCGACCATTTGTGTACTCCAAAAGTCATCATCATATTTTATTATCTGGACTGACATCCAATTAGTCGTGTATATAATAAAAAAGCATTGTTCCTTTTGGGAAATATGCAGCTGTCCTTGTATTTGGTAGTAGTAAATATGATTTTTACTTAATACCAATTTGTTTTCTTTGATGGAACAATACTTCAGCTGTGTTAATATTATAATAAATATTAGGTTTTAAAAAATAAATAAGGAAAGGTATTTTTTTAGTAGGAAACAAACTTTGCCAGTGGATACAGCCTCTATCTCATTTTCCGTGTCTTTTACAGCATAAGGACATTTAATTTCAACGATAGCAGTATCACCAATAATTCCATCTAAAATAATTTTGAAAAATAAATATCGTAATATTAATTAATTAATTATTTTATTATTTACTAAAGAAAATAGTAGGAAAATTAAATCATGTCAAACCTGGACTAGCAGCTAAATATGGAATTTGCGTATCAATGAAAAGACCACATTTTTTTATTTTGTAACCGAAATTTTCTTTAAATTTTGTTTTTGCCTCGTCTTCCATATCCCTATCATACTGGACAGACCTATAAAATAAAAAAAGTATAGAATCTATTGAATAAAAAAAAATGTATAAGAGCTATTTACAAGAGCTTTATTTATTGACCATTGATTTTGAAGAGTATATTTTTTTTTTAATATTGCACATTTTACATTTGAATAAAAATTGTGAATAGTAACCTCTCCTAAATTCCGATATATATTCCATGTTCATAAAATTACATCCATACATTCCTTCGTGAGTACAATCAAGTATTTGACTAAAAACATATCCGATGTCTACAATCCTACACCCATTTATTTCACCTGCTCTTTCACTAGATAAATATATAGATACCTAGGTAATTAATTTTAATTTTAATTCATAAAACATTACGGATGGTAACAACAGTCTTACATGAGGCTTTTATCTACTTCTGAGACTGAACTGACAGTCAGTTCGTGAGAGTCAATAAATTCGTCCTGGATTTTAGCATACCTATACATAATAAAAATATTATCTACAATACCTACAGTTATTATTCATTTAAAATACATAAAAAACTACAATATGATTTAATATAAATTTTACTCGAAGGGTGAATTTATTTCAGTAGCCGTAAGTTTAACAAACGCTAATTCAGGTTCATCAAATTGGTTTTGTACTTGGAATTTCAATTTTGGTGTACTTGTCTCTGCTGTAAATTCTACATAACTCGCTATTTGTGGTGAACTAAAGCAAACATCACTGTAGCAACACCACCATAATATTAATAAAAATTTAAATAAAGCAGTTTCTCTTTACAAATAACAAAAATATGTTTTCGTTTTGAAACTTTAATTAAAATAAATAGTACCTACGACCTACCTACTATAATTTATAAATTTTAATACTTATTTTAATATTTAACTTACCTTTCATTGTTATTATTTTTACGACGATTTACCAGAATACGAGTTAAGCGTTTTTTGGTAACACGTTTAACATTATTTTTTTTGTTTCCCATGCTAATATTTCACTATTACAAAATAGTATAGATAGGTAGTCGGTAAAATAAAATATTTCGTGTACAAATTAACAAATTAAGTCGTGAATACAAGTTTACGTGTCGTGTCTTCAATGACCACGAGCAAATAATATTCATCGCCGATCCACTTTCTGCAGTTGACGATTATTTTATATTTTATTCCGGGTATTTATTTATAAACCATTGCCCGGTCGCGATAAGAAAAGAAAAAGATTTTGAACTTCGAAGCGGTAATTGTAGCGGGTCGGGGGGTAACGAACGTTATTGAACGCTGCCGTAATAGAAACAGAGCAGCACTAGTCGGCCGTAAATTGTCTGTTTACGGCATAAAACTTAGAACGTTTATGGCACACTTAGATTGTAAATCAACCACTCTACAATGATTTTAGAGTAAAAACACCTATCATCGAAATGAAAGCTTACAATATTTAGGAGGGCATCTCATCGGGAATTTTCATTATGTTAATTACACTGTTTGATATTACATTTATAAAAAACGTTTATTTTTGATTTTTTAAATGGCTGTATTATTTTTTAAACTAAATATTTTATAAAACCCCGATGAGATGCTCTTCCAAATATTGTTTTGTTCTATTTTGTTAATAAGTGTCTTAGCTCTAAAACCACTCAGGAACAAGTAATTTTGAATCTACGCAAGCGTGTTTTTAATACTGAAAAATGCCGGTGCGACGTCAATTGATGGTACTCATGTTATACTCAAGCTATGTGGGTCCATCGACCATCCTATATTATATGGCGCAGAGCCGCTGGAGTTTGTGATCGACTAAACTTCATTATATATTTAAAATTTTTAAATACCTACACCAAATATTTTAATATTATGGCAATGAATTAATAAAAAATACGCAGTGAACGTGTTAAGGTATATTTTATAATTATTTAAATTATAAATTTGTATAAGCGAGGGCGTACCAAAGGAATTTTACTTGTGGGAGGGGACAAAGTTGATAGTATGACCAACTCTAAAAATTGATCCGGGACAACTTTTGGTTGGAGCCATTTCATCATAAGGCTGTTAAAATGTTTTTGTCACGCCTGCACCGAAAGTTTGGTTTTCGATAGCGGTTGAAGCGTTGGAAAGCGTCCTTTTTCCGTCCAGCTGGTGGTAAAGTGGAAATCCCAAAAAGTGTAGGGCGGTAAAGGGGAAATCCCCTAAAGTGCTGTTCACACATATCACGCGCGTATGAAAACAGACAGTAAACTTTATACCACGGTCCATACACAACATACACGACCTTTGGTTACATCTTATCATAGATCGTATATTCATATATTATAACCTCCAGGTTAACCTCGAAACAAATTTAATAGCAGGCTCCTAGTATATTGCTTCAAAGGCAGATGAAAAAAATGAAAAATCCTTAGTCACAGCTTTTTTTATAAGCATTTAATGTTCAAAAATTGACAAAATATGGAGAAATCACGAAAATTAGCAAATTATTTTGAGTTAAGAATTCGTAAAAATTTTTCTTTTTAAATCTAAGATTTGAAAATGTTATACAAGATTCCTTATAAGATTATCTACCTTTATCAAAAAAAAAAATGTCTATAAGAAAGTCAAATTAAATTTTTATGAGCGTTTGAAATTCATATTTTAACATTGGATATTCACTCGATTTCTCAAGTAGCGATTTCCTTATTTTGTTGTAATTAAAAAACGAATAACTGTAGATACATGAAAATTTTACTGAATGTTTAAATTAGCATTTCCTATACAGCATAAAATTTTGAAAATATTTTGACTCTTTTTGAGCTACTTACGGACATTTACCGCTTTTAATTTTTTTTAGTTTTTTTTTCTATAAATATCAATAAAGTTTTATCTGTTGGGCCAAAAAGTGTAAAAATGTAATACAAGGCTCCTGATATATTGTTACAATATCAGTTGAAAAATATTAAAAATACATAGGCACAATTTTTTTTATAAGCATTTTAAGATCGAATTTTGACAAAATTTATCAAATTTAAAATTGAATTATTATTTTGTAGTTAAAAATGTATAAAATGTTCAA